TTATGCTCGTTTCCTTATATCACATGATCTCGTGATAGAATAAATTTCGGAATAACAATTTCGTGGAAAGTTCAATGGCATTCATAATTTTATACCATTTGTGATACAGTCACACAAAACCTGGCAGTGTTCTAGGCCCTTGTGTGTGTGTGTGTGCCACATTAAAATCTTTCTTCTCGAGTAGCAAAAACCGCTCCACTTTACGATCTTGAATCTTAAATCATGTGTGAAGAATACATGAAACGGGTACGCTTTTACTCCACGGATTCGTTAATGCTAAATAATTCAAAACTCCGTTCTGTTACACCATTTTGCCATTAAATGTTTTAATGTAGTGAAATGAGTGTTCATACAGGTGCTTTACTTGTTTACATACGTACAATAAAATATATAGGTGTTTGGGTATTGTTTGTAGGCCATACAGGCCTATGACAAATGTATCAACATAACATCACGCCTTTTATCCTCGAAGTGGTAGGCAGAAGTGCACATTACGGCACTTTATGCCACTATGCAATGTAACAACCATTTTTCACTATTTGTTTTATGTATGGGGGTGAGCTTATTGCCATATACAGGACACAATTCCAGACTCCGTGCTACTAATGATATTTTTTTAAAAGCCCAGTAATACTTTGTTTGACTCGGGGGTCGAACCCGACCAATAGGCTCACCCCCTATTACATGGGACTCATAACATAAATAGTAAAAAATGGGTGTTACATTTTACAGTGACATAATGTGCACCTCTGCCTACCCCCTCGGGGATAAAAGGCGTGATGTTATGTTATGTTATGGATATTCTATTTGAAAGAATACTTTGGCTAACTAGCGAACAGTGTTTCCATTCATTTGGTTGATTCAGATATCAAGGCTAAGGGAATAAGTGAGGTCACATCAGAGGGCCAAGCACGAATAAGTATCGCATTCGTAACGTAATAGTATCGAGCGCGTTCGGCGCTCTGATTGGCCAGCTCAAGTGAACCAACCAATCAGAACGCTTAACTCGCTCGATACTGTTACGATACGAATGCGATAGTTATTCGTGCTTGGCCCTCTGTGCTGCGATTCAATTACGTGATGTAACGAAAAAAAAAACATTTTTAAAAGGGTTCCTTCTTAAATAGTTTTAGTCAATTTCAAAACATTTAAGTGATTAGATAAAGTGAAATGAACCTTATTATCAAAATGTTATTGTTGTTAATGTGTAGTAAAAGTTAACATGTGATATATCACGGTTTATGAGTTGGCAAGTGGCCATTACTAAAGGTAAACAAGGTAACAGAATGGCTTACTGCCAGATAAACTTGGGGTTTCAAACTTGGCACATTACATTTTTCACTGCGGACTTTCATAAATACTTTTTTGACTAATTGCTTTGTATAGTGACCATAAGAGGTTTTAGGAAGTTCTGCAGGAGTCAATAGGCATTTTTTTCGTAGATGCACTCCTTGCCTTGTTTGTGGCTTAATTTCGCTTCATAATTTTAATGGGATAGTTTTACATAGTCTTTATAAAAGATTTTAAAAGTTATCTACATAACACCACGCCTTTTATCCCCCAAGGAGTATGCAGATCGGCATTACGGCACTTATTGCCACTGTACATTGTACACACTCACTTTTCACTATTTATGTTAAGAGTCCCATGTAACAGGGGGTAAGCCTTTTGCCATATACCGAATCCGCACATTTCCAGACTCCGTGCTACATTTGAGATTTTTTTTAAAAAACCCAGTAATACTTTGCCTGACCCGTGAATCGAACCCTAAACCAATTGTCCGGCAAGTGCACTTGCGACCACTCGGCCAACGAGGTAGTTAAAAGGTATCTTGGTAGAAAATTTCTACCATGATAAGTTTTAACTACCTTTCTACTAGAAATATTACAAAAATATTATATTATCAAATGTACCGATCCATTGATATTTAGACAACATAAATGCAAACAACTAAAGTTAAATCTCCTTGATCCATTCAGGGCATTCCATTCCTCTTTTCGGATCAAGTCCAACATCATTCCGTTCGAAAATCGAATATTATTATAGCAAATAGCGTACGAAGGGCTCTCGAAAATAACGATACAGCATTTTTCCAAAAATAGAATACATAATGGATTACTGCATCTCGTTAGCAATAAACTAGGACACTGCGGCATTTGTAACCGCAAAGGCTTGGTTCTGTCTGTAATAGATTACAGTTTGCTTAACCTGCCTTCAAGAAAGAAGAACAATTTTCTCGACACCATTTTCTTCGTCTGACAGCCATATCTCTCCATGTAATTATGGTACTTAGATAGCTGTAAGTGGAACACGAAGCAACTTCCAAGTTTAAAAAGTTGACGAACTTTTTTTTCTTTTCTTGTCGTAATCTTTATCGCAAGGCGTTTTATGTCATGTCGTATAAAATTGTTGGAAATCTCTGGAGTGTGGGACGGAAAAGTTATATGATTTCGAAATGTTTTCAAAAGTTGTTAACAATTGGGTGCTTTTACTGATCGTCGTGTGTTTTTTGCAAAAGGGTTGATGAAGGTGACTACGTTGTGATGGAGGGTGAAATTATCATAACTACACCAACCACAATAATAATATTACTGACTTTATATAAATTTAAAACTTATTTAACAGTGCAACTGACGAAAGATACGCAAAAAATGCGATATTCATATTCGATTTTTCACATTTATAAGCATGTTTATTAGCATGCACTATATTAACATAAGACTCTTCATAACAGATCATTTCTACGGAAGTAATGGCCGAACCATTACCACTGTACTTCAATTTGATTAAAATTGCCCTTTCACTTATCACAGTACTGCGGTATCGACCTCCTTACCCGAGTTAAAAATAAACGAACACTATGCTTCACATAAAGACTCCATTGATCCTAAATGAGTGCAATAAAGAGTGATTAATGATCATACTGAATACACCCGTTCTTTCGCAGCTTTAGGTGGCTCACACATAATGTTATAATCATGTTTAGTCTTGATACTTCTTTTCTATAAGGAATTATATCAGCCGCATTGCGTAAAAGCAAACCAATTTATAAGTAGGTGAGATAAGTATCGAAAACAAAGTTCACTGGCATTACAAATATGATTGATTTAGTTTATAAATTATGGTTTGTTTTGAGTAACTTCGAAGCGACAAGGTAAATGATTTTCGATCGTAGGTACTGTAATGAGTTTATATACTGTGGTACTCAGCTACATTTGTAGCTCTGAATTTAATTAAAGTACCCGAGTGACATGCGACGTTGTAATGTGACAGCTTTTATTCATTTTAGGGGTTTCATTGTATGTACACACACATCTTTAAAACTAGGTCGCAACGACATGTTGCTCGTCTGTAAGAGAATACAGCTTCCCCTTCTATCAGTTGCCATCAATTCAATCCCTTTGTTCAGACCAGCCGCTCTTGTATGCCACCCTGCGTTCAATCTGCTTTGATCTCCTATGTATATTGTATCGTACTAATAAGTCAATGCTATGTACAATAAAAAAGTACTGGTAATTGAAACGGTTAATGCGTAAGTTTTTAATCCATCACTATGTAGGATCTTTAAAAAAAGAACGTACATAGCTTGTTTTTAAAAGGTCTTGATTTAAAACTTTTCTGAGATCTTTATAAATTTTTCATAGACAATATAGACATTGGTAATAAGCGGCTATGACTATTAGGTATTTTATCCGCTCGGTGCAACCAAACTCATAAAAAAGTAGAATTCGAACAAATACTGCGGAAAGGTAAACAAAATAAAGTTGGATAGGAAAAGTCCCTTCCACAAGAAATGCATCGTAATAGGGCTGTAGGTACAGCGAATGGAAAAAAAACAAGTGACTAATGAAGTCAAGGATATCTAATTAGACTGGCGACTAACGCCGTTCAAGAAAAATAAGACTGAACCGTTGAACTGTTGATTAAAAATAACGCTATTAGTAAGCGTTGTAAACTCAAGCTTCACAAAGAAGGTTAAGTCGAGTTAAGTAGTAATAATGGGTGTTTTTCTTCATCAGTTAAGCCTATTATGAGTTAGAAGTAAATATTAGAACTGTTTTAATATCGTAAAGTGGCTATAGTAGAATTTGTGGGTGGATATGTTTTTTAAAGGTGGTTCTACACTAGGATATTCTCTTGTGTATTGGGTGCACATAAACACATGATTTCACATACATACACATCACATCCAAAGCTGAAACAACAACAGTTTGTGAATAAATGTGACAGATTGCACCGAAGCCGCTACAACTGTGAAGTCAATAGTAACTACTTAGTAGTAAATGGAAACTCTTGGACATAATAGCTAATATTATATTTATACGGGACTTTTGTAATTCTACGAACAACTCCTATACTCTTTTAAGGCTTTTAACCCTGAGTCATGCGAAGGGGAAATGCGGTAGACACCCTTTAATGCCATTTCTAAGCAGAGGGATTGTACCTACTCAGATATAATAGGACCCTTTTCATTTATAGGTAAATGAAATGGTACTTGAGACAGTATATTGATTAGGAGATTGATGTAAGCTTCTGTATTTGTGTATTTACTGTAAAATTTGTTACGTCGTGTTCTCATTGTAGGTATATGTTATTGGATTGAGTATCTACTTATAATTTGATTAGTTTCATTGGTACGAATCAGTGGCGGATTAATCCAGCTTCTAGCAAATTCTAATGAGGGGGCCCTCGATCTATACAGGGTGTCCCTGGAAGTATCATTTAACTGACCAGGATGTGGTAGTTCATTCACAAACATTTTAGCTTGTTTTCACAAAAAATACCTGCTCTAAGGCGAAGATGATTTGGTTACGCCGGGCGTTTAGCATTAATGTTGCGTGGTTAATTCGTCACTGGTTCGAATATGTGTTATTTTGTGATAAATCAATGTTCTTTTCATAGTCATAATGTACCACAGCTCTGAGTTCAAACTATTTAAATACATTTCGAGTAAAAAATTACCATTTCAATATTAAAATCATTTTCTATGTTTTTCTCAGACGCGGTGGTCGCAATAGAGGCATGGAAGGAGGTAGCGGTGTGGTATACCGTGTGGTGGGGCGCACGCGCAGTAAGGCGGACTGTGGCCAACAGACTGAACGACAGCCGCCGGCGCCGCGGCAACAGGACACCACCTGGAAGAAGTACACCGACTCGCCTGGAGTTGGTGCTCCGCCACTGGTAACTACTTTATATGTTTCTTTAAACAAATGGAAATTATGAAAATCATAGAATTTGAAATGACGAACGCTTTGCGAAATAATTTACCAATTCGTATATTCGTAAGAGCATACTAGCAGTCTTTTGACTTCGTCCCAACTATGTAGTTGAAGCTAACCTTACCTACTCTGAATTTGAAAATTACTCTACTGAATTTCAGTATTTTATTTAGGAAAGTTATTTCGACCTCTTCAACTTCAATTTACATGAGGTTGCGAGTTAGAAACCTACCAACGACGAGTACCAATGTGACTTTTCCGAGTTATATATGTACTTTCTAAGATTATTTACACATCACTGACAAACGGTGAAGGAAAACATAGTGAGGAAACCTCGGCTTTTAATTTCTAATTATAAGTTTGTAATTGCCAACCCGCATTCAGCAAGCGTGGTCTATAGGCTGTTGATGATGAACTGCAAAGGTTAAGTTATTAATAGAATCCAAAACTTTCGTTTCAATGTTATATTTCCTAGTTTCTTTAATTCTTGTTACAACTTATATGGATTAAATATCATACTTTACTTAATGAATTACCTTTCAATTCCAGAACCAGCCAGCACCTGCGCCACCCAGCCCATCACATGGCAGGAAGGGAGAAAGACGTGCTGGCCACCACTCGCCTCAGCACCACAAGCGGGAGAAGCTGACTGCAGCCCAGCAGCTTGGCATTGCACCGCATCCACAGGTAAAATAAAAAAACTTTTTATTTACGTCTAACGTTATTAACGTACCACATCGCGATAATACTAACTTGACACTGTGTCAAAAACGCACACAGGTGGTGAATGATGACGTCTTAAAGCCAGTGTGGTTCCATTGAAGGAACGAGATCTCGCTAGACGACTTGTATTGTCGTGGGGAACCTAACGGGTAACCGGAGCTCCGGCTCGACGTGCAGAGGGAACGGGGTGGTTTTTAGTCAGTAAGAGTCTGACACTGCCTCTCGCCTCACCCAGGTGGGAGCAGTCATTCGATGATTTTCCACCATTAAAAAAAGACGACTTGTATAGCTCTGTTTCTTTCCCTCAATGGAACCATTGCGACTTGAGGACGTCAAATTAACCCCGCAGGTATTATAAAAAGCTTAGTTTAGAAAAAGTTCAGCTTTTTCTAAAGTTCCAGTTTTAGTGCTCGAATCAATCAATCGTAAAATACTGTAGATTTGAAAAAAATACTTTAATAATTCAACCGCAGGAATCGAACGAAAGAACCAGTAGATACGGAAAACAACATTATACTTACATTTATACTTATTTAAACCTTTTAATCCGTTGTTAGATATTTGATACGTATATTAGGTACTTACCTAATTAACGCCCTTGAGGGAAACCATACAACTGTTTCATTCGATATTGCTACAAAACATGGGCGTTAATTCAACCTTGATCTAATGTTTCGATATTTTATTTTCAGTATGCTGCATCGAATTCTGGGCAACATCCTTCAAGAAGTGGGGGATCACAGGTATTGTATTCAGTTCTTATTATTATAAAAATAACGATGGAAGAAAATCTCCTATTAAATGAGTCTAAGTATTGAATATTAGTTAGTTGCAAATCCAACTGCCCATCAAGGATTTATGTTTCTAGTTCAGTTAAGTAAGGAAAAAAAATTAAATTGTGTTCAATATGCCACAAGCCTTAATTAAATCGTGCAAAGTGAATATGTTTGCCAGTATTTTTATTTAACGAAATAAAATATTGTTTTAGCAGCTCCAGTCTCCTGGAGGTGGATCCCGGCCGTCTAGTGTGTCAAGCGGGGGCAATGGTAGCACTTGTTCTTCAAGTAAAGCGAAAGTGCCACAAAGCTTCGGCTACGTGAAGAGACAGAATGGTGTTCAACAACCAGTACCGCAGTCCAATGGGCCACCACAACATGGTACGTACATTTACAAATTCTTTTATAGCCTAAAATGAATGCTTGCAAAGAAAAAAAAAAGGAAGGAGGTCGAACCTCTTTAAATTTCGAATTATCAATTAGCCAGAATCAGAACTGGCTGAATAGTAAGAAATTAGCTGGTTGAAAATACGAATGTGCTGATTGTTTTTGGTTTTCGAAAATGGCGGGTATTTCAAATTTAGAAATGTAAAATAATTCCTAAATAGATAATTAATGGCTTAAATAGTTTGTTTTATAAAATTATCGATATTAATTACTATTATGTATTACTTTTTGTAGGTGGACGGACAGCTCAAGTTTCTGCTGTGCCAAGGACGAAAGTCAAAGTATCGGGTGGTACACAGACGTGTACACAGGACCTTCAAATTCATAGTAAGTTATTTTTATGTATTTTTGTTCCCATGTTCTGCACCATTTTACTTCACATGGCATTATTAACGCTGCTAGAATCGGTAACAATAACAATCAATTTACCCATTATATTGTTTTATACACAGACAACTTTTTTATCTAGAGAATACAGGCCAACTTTCTTCTTCTTTTTTTTTCAAATATTTCTATAAGGTGATGTACCTATGTAATTTCACATTTGCATGCACACTACCTCATTAATTTTCCTAAATGTTTATACCTATCATATTTCCACATGCATGCTCTACGAAATCTTTTTCATGTATAGGAAAATTTTATTTAGGTGCGAAATTTTCAATTAATTTTTGCTTATCAACGCCTTTCGTTCATTTTTCATTTCCACGCCTACGCAGAGAATGGAATCGGTCCGAAATCATTTTCTTTGGGTGGCACAGCGGCCGCGCAGCTCTCGGCTTCGGTTCGAGAGAGGTTGCTGGGGTCACAGTCCTTGCCCAAACCGGGAACACATGAGTTTGCTGCCCTCTTCCATCATCATAGGTAAATATACAACTTTTTTTATATAAAACATGTATATTTTTGACAAATGGAGTGTTCGCACCCTGTTGTGTGTTTGTTTAAAACAAATTGCATGATCTTTAATAAGTCATGTTTGCTTGTGCAGTTTGAAAACTAACTGTGTGAAACAAATAATACAAATATGTAGGAACAGACTTTTACTTAAAGGAAATTTAATTCTAAAGCTGTTTCATTTAGGTTCAATATTGTATAAAATTAAGAGCCGTCTGGTCTTGTGATGAAATTACCTCACAGACTCACAGCTGACTCCCAAACTCAAACAAATCAACAGTTAGTACAGGACAATTGTTTCGTTGACATCAGCAATTAAACAGTTTAAGTAATGAACTGGGATACCCGATGTAAGTGAGAGTGAGATAAACATATCTCTTGCTCTTTCTTTTGGGGCTAGAAGATGACTATGATCTTGGAATTAAAAATGTAGAGCAGGATTTGGCGGTTAATCCGTGACCTAAATTTTTTATTTGTACGGTATTAAAGTAAACAATTAACATAAACGTTATAAATCTTCCCCGTCGTTATCAACGTACCTATTCTGTATCGTCGAATGAAAGGAAATATTATTGAACGCAAACATGCGTCGATTCCTTGTGTTTTTATAAAGTAGCACATCAATATTTGACCTCTGTGCAGGGCCGCGCCGCCCCTGTGTGCGAAGTGTGCGGCGCACACAGGCGCCAAGACAATAGGGGCGCCGTGTCGCGCCACCACCTCTACTTGAATTATTTTTGTTACCTTAATTATTATATTTTTGGTAGTAGAGTATCGATAAGTAAGTAGGTACAATAGGCGCAACATAGGCCTTGTATACAACAAAACTTATATTACGCTTATTAAACAAGTCTCTCAATATTTATGTTTATTATTAATCACGTTTATGGTTTCATTTTACACTTAGGGTTTTAGTTTACATTACTTACGAGTTACAAGATCAACGTTAAAACGGCGGCAGATCTTTTGAACCACAGATAAAGTAGGTACCTACTAGTTATATTGAATCATAAGGCGCCGACTTTGTATGAGTAAGTATGAGTGAGTTTGTGAACGCAACCCGATGCGATGCGTGCGAGGCTATAGGAGTAGGGTCACAGGGATTCCCCGATGTTAACGAACGAGAGAGTCAAGCTAAAACAAAACAATTGAACAATCATTTGATTGAAAGTGTGTGTAAGTGCGCATTGAACTTTTTACTGACTTTAAAAAAAGGAGGAGGTACGTATGTTCGGCTGATTATTTTTTTTTTCAGTACTCCGCCATATGTGAACCGATTTCGAAAATTCTTGTTTTGTTTGAAAGGGTATACTCCCGAGATGGTCCCATTTCCATGAGGTCAGGATCTGATGATGGGACCCAAGGGAAACCAAGGGAACTTTTGAAAATTCTATGGGCGAGTACTGCGTCTATTTTGTTTTTTCAATTACGATTTTTAAACACTATAATTTGATAAGGGTCTGGATTTGACCTGATGATGGAGCCGACAGACAGTCGAGGGAATCCTCAGCGGTTTATATTAACCACCTTGTGTTTGTACTAAATTAATCAAGCCCAAGCATAGGGTAGTTAATAAAAACAGCTGAGGAGTTCTCTCGATTGTCTGTCGGCTCCATCTTCAGGTCGACTCCAGACCGTTATCAAATTGTAGTGTTTAAAAATCGTAATTGAAAAACATAATAGACTCATTACTCGCCCCTAAAATTTTCGAAAGTTCTCCTCGGTTCCTCTCGGTTTCCCTAGGATCCCATCATCAGATTCTGAGCTCATGGAAATGGGACCATTTCGAGAGTATACCCTTTTAAACAAAATAAGATTTTTGGAAATCGGTGTACAAATGGCGGAGTAATGTGCGAACAAACAAAAAAAATCAATCAGCCGAACATAGCACCTCCTGCTTTTTTGAAGTCGGTAAAAAAGAGGCGCTCCATCGATTCCGCACACAGGCGCTGCCGGGGGTCGGCGCGGCCCTGCCTCTGTGCTCCATTAATCCTTTACAGATAACACAATATTTACTTACTTAACAAATATTTGAATTGGAAACGCAAACAAAGATTGAATTATAATCCGAGAATGTGGAGACAGCTTTCATTTGTTTGGTTCACGAATCAATGGCAACTTGTGTAAAAAAAGATGACGTGTTTTATTAATAAAAGTCTGAATACGTCTCTGTACTGGCCATTGACACGTATAATTGAGTAAATATCATTGCAAAGAAGTATTTCGTGATGTACAGACGATAAACATTAATATTTTGGTCGTACATCGACATGTTATCAAAGTTTTAAGTGTTAAAAAGTTGTATATAAAGTCGGTTGTAATCATGAGTGTTGACAAGTAAGCAAATAAATTCTTATCGATATCATTTACGTATACCATCGTGGGAAATTTGAATCAGTGTTCATACGTTCTGGTTTAAGGAACATTCTCTTAGCAGTTTGAAGTGCTCTTACTTGTATTTAATTATTTTTTAGTTGATTTGTTAAGTGAAAATTGGTTTTGTCTTCTTTAATTTGTAGTAGAGTATAGTAAGATCGTAGCTATACACGACATTGTGTTTTCTATTGTGTCTAATATATCGGCATACAAGAGGTGAATTGAATTATAGTGATTTGTAGGACATTTAGTAGTAAATAAAAAAAGGATTCAATGAGTAGCAGATACTCAGAGAGCTTATGAATAAAATCGGTAGATATGTGCGAATTATCAAGACGAAATTTTACACGAGAAGTTATAGTGTAAAAAGTACGACAGTTATTGTGAAAATTCTCCCAATGTCTCCTCTATGTGCTCGTATATTTGGTTAACAAACCCAATGGCTTCCAGGATCGCACCTAGAGGTGGCATTAAGATTAGTGACGGCAGTCTTTCTGATACCCAAACGTATTCCGAAGTAAAGTCTGACTACGGGATCCCGTATGCACCTTGGCTAAGACACAGGTAAATATTCTAATAACTTACATTGTATGTGAATGGATGTTCTGTGGATATGTCCGAAAAATTATAACCAGCTAAATTAAAATTGTTTTATGTTTGTTGTGACAGTTGTACTGTTATTATTATTGTTTGTATCATTTTCATTACCATTCTCCCTCATCATTCTTGTGTGCTTATTTTGTGTCATTATTTTTTATGTGTCATACAATGGGCCTTGGTCTACACTACACGTAACAATATCAAGTCTTCTTTTCAACCGGACCTTAAAACTATCATCAATTTTAAATTATTCGGTTTACTGGAAAAACATTTATGACACGCAAATCTCTTCTATCATAATCTCATGCTTATTTCAGCCCTATTTTCAATGGCCAGTTGTAGGACACGACAGTTTTGTTTGATTAGATTTTATTTTTGATTTATTAGATTTTTTCTTTTCTTTAACGTAAATGGAATATTATTATGTCAATCGAGGTACAGCTGGCCATTACGTGCCGTCATCACTCTTCCCCTTTTCAGCAATACATATTCGGCGAGTGGTCGCCTGTCGGAGGGCGAGTCGATGGAGTCGCTCACGTCGCTGCACTCTGCGCAGGCGCACAACCACACCTCCTCCCCTAACTCACACCACCGCAGCTCACTCACACACAATAAGCTCATCATGCACCGAGACGCACAGGGCTCCCGGTTAAACAGGAGCAACAGTATTAGGTGGGTTCCCCAATTTCTATAAAGTAGAAAAGTGAAAATTATTTTAAACTCTGGGGTATCAAGCAACAATAACCTATACGTATAACGTGAGAATAGAGAAGTGATTAACTTATTGATGAGCAAAATCTTAGTTGAATCTAATAATTTGATTTGATTATCTAACTCACCTTCGGTGGATTGATTATATAAAAACATATACCTAAAACATAATTTATTTATTGAACCAAACTGTTCAAAATGGAGTTGACTAATCATAAACAACTAGCCTACTTCTTACCTTTTCATTAATCATGCTTAAAACTCTTTGTCCTGATACTCATTGATGCTTATCTATAAACCTACTTACTATCATGTTATGTGTTATTAATATTAGTACATACAGCTGTTGGTTACTAAAATGTCTTGACTGTTGGTTAAATTTTTAGCTACCTCAGAGATAGGACATTTCCAAGGTATGCCACACGGTTGGGAGTTTGTTCATGTTTTGGCTTCAAGGTGGCACGCTTCATTTAAATAATAAATTATGCATGATTTTAATAAGGCACGGCTTATCTACTTATTTTTACACTATATTGACGCCATTGTATTATAAATTTGAATAATCACTTTCATTGAATTATATTGGTTAAAATACACAGATCGTTCATGACACTTCATGATCAAAATCATTTCATAAACATTTTCTCGGAAGTGTATTAAAATTTTTTAAGAAGTAATTGACAATGGTTATATACATTTTATTTTCTGCAAAATGAGGATAAATCACAAAATGGAGGATATTTTTTATTCAACGGGCTTTTGTCGCAAAATGCTGAATTGTGCCATTTTGTACTGTGCGCTACTCAAGGGCTTTCACGATATACTGAAGTGTTTTTTAGCAAGCTTGGAATGACTGACAAATATAATAATGTTTTATATTTTCCAACACCTAAGTAGAAAGGGCATGGTTACCCACTCCACAATGGGGCCAGCAAATATATTAGAATTTTTGCAATGTATTGACCAATTTATCATTAGGTACTGTGATTATTATAAACCAGTCCCATATTCATTTCTATGATGATTTTTCATGACCTCAAAGTAGATATCATAATATCTACTTGAAATCACGAAGTAGATATCAGTCACTGCACTCACATAAATCAAAATTAAAACATCGTACATACAAAGTCACATAAACCATTCATTCCTAGCTTGAAAGCACTGACAGAAACAAGCAATGTATCACACAAGACGTGCTTCATCGTAGAAAAACATAATCACTTTGAAGAAAACAAAGATTTAATGAAATACATTCTTACAGGTCAACAAAATCGGAGAAGCTTTACCCTTCGATGCTGCAAAGATCTTCGGAGAGTGACTACGAGCCGTATTATTGTTTACCTGTGCAATATGGACCATCTGGACAAGGTAGGACTTTATTACTCATACAATGACTCGTTTATCTAAGCATTGTTCCATTGTGACACTCAAACATAGTATAGAATACCTCACGGATACCTATATTTATGTTCTTCAAAAGTTCAGTGACCTTATAATCAAGATGATTTTGTATTTTATTTATGAATATTCATTCTTCAGTCGGGGTTGTGCGGTGAAGCAAGAGTAGGGAACGAAGTAGTTTTTAGTCAGTAAGAATCTGTCTGACCCTCTCTCACGCTACACCCAGGGCAGGAGGAGTCATTTGATGATATTCCACGGTCAAAAAGGTATATTCATTCCAAGATGAACTTCTAGAAATGTAGATGTGAATGTACTTACATCTAAAGTAGCTGAAAATTTAGTAACGTTTCAGTGTTTCTTTCGTCACCGTGTAAATGTTTCCACTATTACATTTTATGGGACATAAAGAGTCGTATGTATTTACAAATAATGTCCGAGACTAAGGTTCTATTGATTGTCTCGCATCGATTTTACTACGAATATATACATCATTTATGCTCCAACTGTACATAAATACTTAGTTTTATAGTAAGTACAAATACAGGTTTTAATATTAATGGATCTGGGAGCGTCCTTGTAATAAATATTCAGTATTGCACGTGGCTTTGAGCGATGCCAATGAGCATCTTAACTCATACCATACATTCTTACATATAATTAATCTTAATCAGTGCAAATAGTACAATTAGTGGGCAAGTCAGTATTGTCTCTTCGTAGAACAAATGGTACGGTAAATCAAAACAAAATTATTTCTCCTAGAATCTACCTATGACTAATGATATTATTCTATAAACAATTGCTTCAAGTCATTGTCATCTTGACTTTCGATTGGAACTATAGTTAATTGGGGTATACTTTGAGTAATGTCATACATAAGAAGAAGTTTGAGTAAGAATTGCCTTTCAACCTAAATTAATAACAAATTGGAATCTAAAATCATTGAATTAAGATCGATTTTTGACATTTTCATGGTCCGACTAGAGATTTTGAATAAAGGTCGCTTACTAATTTCCAGAGATAGTCACTCGTCTGTTATAGTAATAACCTTTGTGTGGAGAAGAATTTAGTGTTTACCGTGTATGTGATGGTAGGTCTAAACTACGGCGTGTCAGAGCCACCGTCGCCGTCTCCGAGGTCAGCTCTAAGTCCGACGCACCAGCCTGGCAATGTGATGCACACGCCTCGACACTCACACCACTATCCTAAAAAGAATGATGATGGTAAGTGAAATTATTGTAATGTTATACTTACTTTTAATTTTAGTGACAATTTGATTCATAGGATTGTTATAAATCTTATTTGTTATTATTTTAATAGTGAGGAAGAATCTAGTTATATAACACAGTAGACTCTACTTTAAGTAATGTAATAAATATAATAACGTATTATAGCTTTTAAATTGAACCTAATGGTTATGCATCAGGGTTTAAATTTTCTCATAAGAAAATAATGGTTTCAATTAGGTAAGTAAGTTGTAATAGTACCAAAGATGGTAGTAATCAATAAGACATATTTGAAAGAAAAAGTCAAAGAAGAAAAGGAAAGATTTACGCAAGCAAGTGAAGTATCGTTCCCCAATACTTTAATTAGAGTGTTCTATATAACGGGTATCGTCCGGTCATTGGTATCATTTATACGAAACAGATGTCCGCGATGCGGCATAATGTCGCAACCGCAAACATGTGGCTTGCATCGGAGACAGAATTCAAACATAAAACATTTATTTACGGTAATGTTTGGGAATATCTCCTCGCTGATAAATACCGAGGTTTAAGTACATCGAACTATCAACTCGTTATCTTCTAAAGTACATAATGTATTCAACTATTAATTGATGCGTATAATGTAGCTAAATATTATAATATGTTATAAGACTCCAAAACGTCTGGAATTGTAAAGATTAATTGATTGCGTAAACTTGTACAATTTGTACTATTAAGACTTTGACTGCCAATAAAAAACTGTTGAAGGTAAATCCTCTGCTAACGCCGGTCACCGGTGACCCCATGGCGTTTAACGTGTTAATCTTACATAAGAAACTCTTTTGAAGTAAAGTGATACCTGTGCTAGGAGTAGGTCTTCAAACAGTCAAACTGACCTAAAATATAGATAGGTATCTGCTATTTCTTTGGTTAATACCCCCATCAACCATCAACGCACCACTCACCAATAGGTTGCATGGTAGATATCGCTTTTAGTGACAAGGCTGTCTTTCTACCCTTGTTATTCTGTGTAAATTATGATTTTGGAATATTAATTAGGTACTTGGTGTACAATAAAGTTTATAATATCTATCTATCCCCAGTTTTCTAATAGCTGATGGCAAAAAACGATCTCATTTGCAGTAGTTAAAATACAGTCGTCTATGGAAAATTAATGTGACCTCTATATCTATCTATATGTGAAGTATAAACTAAACAAACTTACTTCTAAACGTGGGAATAATCAATCAAGTGATCTAATTACAAAACCGCAAAACAGCTAGACGCGGCATTCATGTATGTAGATACTATTAGTACTGGTACTACCACCTATGTATCTACTACGAACTAAGTAATTATTTATCACTCGTTCAATGTTCTGTAAAGCTACAATCTACCAGGTTTTTCTTACTGAACCTCTAAGAAAATATTTTATTTTCATTTTTTCTAAATCATACTCTTCATCGGAGAGATCGTAGTCATGAATCACTATTAATATTTTTCTCTATTATATCGGCTAAATAGACAATAATAATGACCTAAATTTAAACGCTAAGTTTGTTTGTCTGTAGTGCACGGATCTACTGCATCATTGGTGTCGACAGCGTCGTCATTGGCTGCTGGCGCGGGATCGGAGGAGAGGCAGGCACACGAAGTAAGTGGGGTACTGTTCATTTTTATATCTTTTTACTAAACATACTAACCTACTAGTACCTAAGTACTATTTCTAATAATCTTACACGTATGTATGTATTTGTTTAAATCTCTAAACAAGAAGTATCTCAAAAATGATCTAACTAATGAATTCTAGGTAATGACTTATATAATTTTCTCTTCCAAAGTCTAGTTGGAAAAATATCACACCTCATTTTTTTAATAACATTTTCTATCTGGTCACTACCGTTTAGAAAGTGTAAGAAAAATAATTAAACGAAAGCGAGCCAATTATGACCGAGCTCACGGAAAATTAAACCTGTAATTTTGTCTAGGTCCGGAAACTGCGGAGGGAACTAGCTGATGCCAAAGAAAAAGTGCACACGCTGACGACGCAACTAACAACTAATGTAAGTACTTCATTTTTATATACGAAATTAATCAAGAAACTTCATTATTGTGATGAGACATTATAATAATACCAAAGATATTATAAAAAGCATAAATTAAATGCGACATCTTCGTGGGTGTTCTGCCAATTGTCATTAAAATGTAGTTACCTACGTTACATTCAATTTATCATTTTATGTTCTGTATTTGTACTGCTACCACGCAATTTCCACACAATCAACTACCCTCAAAACTTTTGTTCGACACACAAAACATACGGAAGCTACCAACAATATAATGTAACATGAGACCGTTTTGTAACGATTCTTTGTATGTCAACATAGAACAGGCTGTCACATTGCGTTTTCTACCACACCTACAGACTTGAAATCTGATATTATCTGCGTAGACAAAATAATGACTACCTACTCGCCACCTTGTCAACCTATCTAGTGATGATATGCCCACTGATGCTTAGCTGCTCAGCTTGTTTTTATTTAGTCACAGAGTAATTCATACCGATCCAATTTTGTGGTCATCGTATTTCATACACTGCGGTTAACAGATCTCCCTAAGAACACAGACTTTCACTCCATGGTCATATTACCCGTTTCGAAATATGGAGTTTTTGTGCCGACCATCACTTTGTAAGGGTATTCCTATCGCGTAACTTTTGGATATCGCTGTCGATAACCTAGCACCTCTGAGGCAGAAAGTTTGAGATGGAATGTCACAAGTTAGGGGTCAGTAAATAATATCAGAGGTCCGTGCGGCCGTGAGACGAACGTTTGCCCGTTTCCCATATCGGGCGCTAAGAATGTATGCCAACTGCAACCGCCGCTATCTACTGTATCATACGCTGTCCAAGTCAACAGCGAATAAATCAATAACTACTAATAAAATACATACGATATTTTTTAAGAATGTGCGATAAAAAAGAAAATTATATACGAACTAAATTAATATCAACGTATATCTCAAAATTCGACGTAAACTAGAGCAATATATCGCTATCCTGTTACACCTTGACTACCAATGACAAAGCGCCTATAAATGCGAGCGAATATGGCAAGTGACAACTTTGAACTTGGTGCCGCCGATGTAGACCAGTTAAATAAATAAATAAACTACGAATGTATTTTATGTATAGCTCCTGTAACTACCATAAAAGAGTTTGTAAATTATTCGACAACCAATAAAAAGCCAGCATCATCGGCAAAAAGAAAAAACAGCGCTAAAAGTACTTTTTATCTTTTTTGGTGACTAAAATCGATTTTTCTTAAGTCTGTGTGCTGTACCTTGGCATTATTTTTTTACTAAAATGTCAATGTTAACGCGCTATTGTCCAGTCCAGACCATTATTTTTATCTCCACGTCCAATATGTCACAAAACTATTCAGTTCTTTTATTAGAGTCAAGATTGTTAATTGAGCACTCAATAAAGTAACTAAATTGCGTTCAAAATTATGTAGCTATACTTGCTTTAAATTATTAAGAAGTCCTCTAATTAGCATCTGACATATTTATCAGCGAGTTTTATCTATAAAGCTGTCATAATAATCTTGACGATGATAGGAATGTAATTGACATATCAATTAGATTATTTCATTCTACACTTTTATTAACTGGTTACCAAACTTCGGTACATTATTGATTTCTGTAGGTACATCATGGACTACCTTATCAATTATGTAATAGTGATTAAAAACTCCTAATTTGCAATTAAACGGCCTACCAACGCGTAGTTATTTAGTATTATTACAAGTAGCTTCGATTTTAATTACTGTTTTTTTCTTTTTAATTTTAATTAGATACAATTAGTTGATTTTGATTGATGGACAGATATTGCACTCTAAATCATTGTTATGCAATATAAGTATGCAACATGCATTAATAGATTTTTTAAACACGTCCTGTTTCAAAACGACTGATTATCATAAAAGCCTTTTAATTGAGGACAAGTTAGTAAGAACATGTAGCTGATTTAAATTTCGTGATTGATTGATTCTTAAAAGAAATCTTTAAGAAATCCATACAAAACGATCATCACTAAGCGAAAGGCAGACGAATAAATAATTTTTCTTCGGATGCTCTTCAGACAAGTAACGGTTATATCTCATTAATGTTTCTACATGTGTTCGTTTAATTCGTCTGGACAAAGAAAAAGCAGACTTTTCAATGAGTAGAGTATTTTTTCTCGTTTCTAATTTACTGGTCACTAAAGCATCGCGAACATGCATAATTCAAGACGAAAGACGTCCAATGTTCTTGTGTCGCCATTGTTTAGTTTTGTACCGATTGTGTCGAACGAGACTTGGCCACAGTGGATGATGTCGCGTCTCAATGCCATATCATTGACTTTGAATTGCCTACCCGTACCTATATGACTAAAAAATATAATAACGTCATGAAAGTACTTTGTGTCATTGAGAACACTATTTCCTTTAGTGGCTATTTCAGCATCCCGCCGTCATTAATGGCTGCGCTATTGACATTAATTACTACACTTTAGAGTTGAGCAATGAGATTTTTTCTTGGTCGTCTCACATTAGAGTCAAAAGCGCGACAATGTGGACGGTCACATACGAGATACCAATTGTGCTCAATGGCGATTTAATTTGATATATCGGCCGTTCATGCCCTGTTTGCCTTCACGTAGCAGTTCGTAGTTATTGGGTACTATCATATCAATATTTTACCGAAACTATATTAGGTATACTTGCTTAACTGCTTTAAACGTTACTATGAAAATAAATGCTTTGATTAAGTTATCATTAGAATTTGATTTATTCATATACCCGTTAAGAATGTGAATAGAGACAAGTTTTATTTGTCAGATTGAGGCGTCCCTGCAGTATCTTGTCAACCTTCATTTAAATGTTTATAATTACCTCGTTTATATTTCCGTTGTTTACTGACTTTGCGTGTGATTTCGTGAGTTTCTCTACCCTCCCTATAGTAATGATCATTAATTTTCAAATTGACATTCAATAAATAGTGGGTGTGACAAATAGCAGTTTATTGGCACGTAGCCATGTTAGTCAACGAATATCTCTACTTGCCTCGAATAATAGTTAACTAGCCATATACAGCGGAATTGTTCATTTCAAAGTTAATTGTTCGCAATGAGTTTTAAGTACACAAAGCACCGCTAATTAGTTAGCGGCGCTACACATCGACACAACTATCATTTACACAATATACATGTGTGGGTAATTTCATATCAATAGATATGTATAGAAACATTCGTCTATCACACACATCTTGGTATTTAAAAATCATTTTTGTGTCGGTATACGCAATAATTTAGTAAATAAGTTTAAATAAAAACGAGGGTAAAGATAAAATTACTCATAACAAACTTTGAATAAATCGAAATCAAAAATAATGAACGATCGAGCTATACAATACCCATATAAATATAGTGCTTTCTCATTGTAATTTTATGTTACTGAATGATATAAAATATTTCGATGATCTCATCTACAGCGCGCTTGGCGCAATGGTTATCGCCTCCAATTGTCAAGTAAAGTGCCGCCGGATCGATTCCAACATTCACATGTTGTTTTAGAATTAATTTATCAAATATTTGAAATTTGAAATTAGAAACAATTAAATCTTTTCTTTTTTTTTTCCTCCTATTGTTCTAAATCTTATGTTAATTTTAATAGTAAATACTTTAGATTTATTTATACCTATAATATCTTTTATTTATATTTTAGTTCTAGTTATTTATTATTTAGAATAATCTCATTTGCTTCATGCATTTCAACCAACTTAAATAAGATAAAAACAGTAAAAAAGTAATTAACTGTGATTTCTTAATGGTTCGATACCTGAGTATATTTGCAATGTTTGTGGCGACCATAGAAATCTCGAGTCATTTTATTTTACACGCTTATGAAGTAACTACCGACTATTTAAAACATGTTTTTCAAATCACCCGACTTACAAAATAATTGCGTTCTTAGTTGTCAATTTATGAGGATTTCATAGTTTATTGCTACACTACTTATATTCGTGTGCAAAGTTATTTTTATTTTTACAAGATGTTCCAACACCTATCAACATTTAAAAAGGCTGAAACCATTGTTTTGCATGAGCAAAACATAACTAACAATAACTGAAATAGCAAGGCGTTTAATGATATCGGTGAGTAAATAAGATACTACGTTGATATTCTAAATAATATTTATTTCATTTTGTAACTCGACACACCTATCAATTTTTGCACTAGAATAAAATAATTATTGCAACTTATTATGAAGTTCAATATTATAAAGATATATTAATAATTTATTATTAATTGTATTGTAACTTGACTTGTTTTTGTTAGGAGTGTTTCTTTAAAACATATCTGGTTAGGGATTTTTATTCCTTACGCCACTACTTAATTATAAATTATTATTCTAACATTGTGTTTACTTATATTTATTATTATTTTTAAGTAACTTTAATTCCTGTAAAGTATTTCCTGGTATTTTAAATACTTATTTGTTTGGTATCAACAGAGGAGATCCATGCAGTTATGGGTGCACAGATATGCGGAGACCGGTGACGTTAAACATCGTCGACGTGGGCCTAAACCAAAGGCAAATTCATCGGCTCGGCACTACGACATCGTAGCCAGGCACATGGCTGATCCGTTCCTGCCAACCCGCACTACAGCGACAGCACTGAATGTTTTAATACAAACTGTACGGAGACACCTGCATTCTGGTTTAAGGTGCAGGAAGCCAGAGAAGAAAATATTGTTATCTGTGGTTCACCAGCAAAAGCGCTAAGAATTTGCTAAGGACTTTATTAATTTTGATTGGGCGAACAGTGTAATCATATTGAGCGACGAAAAGACTTTCAAGTCGGATAAGGATGGGCGTAAAATATTGTGAAGAAAAGATGGAGAAAGGTATACGAATTGCAACCTTCTGCCTTGTAGGATCAGTGATTGTATTGATTTCGGAATCAATTATTGAGCCTGTCAAACTCTGCCTTTATTAAAATTAACATAAAATAATGTTTA